CTACCCCTAAAAATTCTCCATGTTAAGAAAAAAAAAATCCTTCTCACTTAACCAATTTTGTTTTATTTTTTGTTTAGTGTGAAAATTATGAATGTAAATTTAATACAACACTTACGTCTAACCTAAAATCAATTAATAATAGTTGGAATGACATTTCTTGTATTTAAGGTTGGGTCTTATCAGGTGATATAATAATGAGATTCTTCTGATAACAAAATCCGAGTTTTGATACCATATGAAAATTATACATGTAAACTCAATATAAGACTTGCATCCAAATTTAAAATTAATTGATAATAAATGAAATAACATTTTTTATATTTAACCCACAAATTACTTACTTTTATTTTCAATATAAGATTTTCCCACTCAATATCTAGACGGGAGACTTTTCAATTATTGTTGAAAAATTTTGATCTTCCTTCTCCATGCCATTCTCTCCAACCTGTCTATTTTGTTCATGTCTCTAACTGTCCACATGATTTTAATCCTCAAAACCCAACCAAAACACGAAAACACCAGCACTCTGCTACCTAAACCATAGTTTTTCTGTTGTGGCAAACTAAGAGAATCACAAATAAAACGTAATTTAACTAATATCAGACAAATAATGTGCCTTTTTTCCGTTAGCACCGCTTCAATCAAGGCAATGTGGTCGATCCTAACAGGAGAAAAGCAGAAACTGCTAATGATTTTTGCATGGACACCTTCCAACCTGACAAACTGCTGCCCATACTAATCAGATTAGTCATGTGTGTTCATATCAATCGGATAGAGAAATTAAAGAAACAAATTTCTAACTTCAGACAACACCGTCTGTTGTGTTAACATGTTAGCTCATATATATGGTTTTATACTGGCAAATTAATCATTTTGTTTCCAAATTTGATTTTTTTTAAATTTGAACGTTAAAGATATATGAGACTTTTTTTTTTTTTTTGAGAACATAGGTATTTGGGCTTCTAATTTAATTAATTCTGTGAATATTTACAAATTATCCTGTCTATAGCTCTTGTGTAAATCTCTACCTTAAAAAAGTAATAAGTGTAATTCATTGAAATATTGTTTATACTCAAATAATAATAAAAAGACACAAAATTATATTCCATCTTTACCTCTTGAGTCAATCTCAATGGAATTGAAATTTCATTTTAGGTGATCCATAATTAAAAAATACATATACTCCTACACTAACATGATGCATTAAAAAATTAAAATTTTTAAAAATATATTTAGTTTGAAAAAAATAAATAGCTAAAGTTTTTTTTACCAATCAAATAATAATTTTTAAAAATATTATAATTTAATTAATTAAAAAATTTATCCATCCCCCTCCTCTCAAATGAAATATAAAATTAAAGTGTGATCTCAAAACTTAATTACTCCATAAAACTACATTAAAAAAAGACTTGAATTATAAGTGAAATAATTAAAGAGATAATTTACGACTTCAACACATACCTTTAACTTGATTCTATTGCTTCTTCATATTATAATCTGTAACAACTTCAACACCTGTAAATGAACAGATTCTCATAAGCTGTAAATAGATTCCATAAGCGCATGTTTGGGTTAGTTTGTAACAATATTTTTTTTTTATTATTTACAAGTGATAAGTTTAAATTTTTACTAAAAAAGAATTTAAATGTTATCTTTAGAAATAGAAAGAAAAAAAGAATAAAAATGAAATTTATGAAAAATTTGAATTTGAAACTTTTGA